TAACAGCTACATCGCAGCTAATCGGCACAGTAAAGCTACATGAACGCTTCAGCTAATCGGCACAGTAACAGCTACATGCCGAGCTAATCGCCCAGTAACAAGCTACACCGCGCAGCTAATCGCACAGCTAACAGCTACATGCGCAGCTAATCGCACATAACAGCTACTATGCCGAGCTAAATCGCCCACAGTAACAGCTACATGCGCAGCTAATCGCACATTAACAGCCTACATGCGCAGCTATCGGCCCAGTAACAGCCCTACACGCGCGCTTAATCGGCCCACGTAACAGCTACATGCGCAGTAAATCGCACAGTAAACAGCTACATTGCGCAGCTAACGCACCAGTAACAGCTACATGCGCAAGCTAATCGCCACAGTAACAGCCTACACGCCGCAGCTAATCGCCACAGTAATAGCTACATGCGCAGTAATCGACAGTAACGCTACGAATGCGCAGCTAATCGCACAGTAACAGCTTACATGGCCGCAGCTAATCGCCACAGTAACAGCTACATGCGCAGCTATCGCCACGTAACAGCTACATGCGCAGCTTAATCGCCGAGTAAAGCTACATGCGCAGCTATCGCACCAGTAACAGCTACATTGCGCAGTAATCGCCCAGTAAACAGCTACATGCGCAGCTAATCGCCCACAGACAGCAACATGCCGCCAGCTATCGCCCCCCAACAGTGAACAGCTACATGCGGGCAGCTAATCGCCCCAGTAACAGCTACATGCGCAGCTAATCGCACAGTAAACACTACATTTGCGCCAGCTAATCGCACAGTAACAGCTACATGCGCAGCTAATCGCCACAGTAACAGCTAGTATGCGCCAGCTAATCGCACAGTAACCAGCCCTACCATTGCGCAGCTTAATCGCCCCACAGTAAACGCTACATGGCGCATGCTAATCGCCCACAGTAAAGCCTACATTGCGCAGTAATTCGCCCAGTAACAGCTAACATGCGCAGCTACATCGCACAGTAACAGACTACATGGCAGCTAATCGCCCAGTTAACAGCTACATGCGCAGCAATCGCCACAGCTAACAGCTACACGCCGCAGCTAATCGCCCACAGTAATCAGCTACATGCCCGCCAGCTAATTCGCACGAGTAACAGTACATGCGCAGCTAATCGCACAGTAACAGCTACATGCGCAGCTAATCGCACAGTAACAGCTACATGCGCAGCTAATCGCACAGTAACAGCTAATCGCACAGTAACAGCTACATGCGAGCTTAATTACGCCACAGTTAACAGCTACATGCGCAGCTAATCGCACAGTAACAGCTACATGCGCAGCTAAATCCACAGTAAACAGCTACTATGCGCAGCCTTGAATCCGCCACATAACAGCTAATCGCGCAGCTAATGCACAGTAACAGCTACATGCGCAGCTAATCGCCACAGTAAACAGCTACATGCGCAGTAATCTCACAGTAGCTAATGCGCAGTTTAATCGCACAGTTAACAGCTTAATGCGCAGGCTAATCCCACAGAACAGCTACATGCGCAGCTAATCGCACAGTAACAGCTACATGCGCAGCTAATCGCACAGTAACAGCTAATCGCACAGTAACAGCTACATGCGCAGCTAATCGCACCAGTAACAGTACTGCGCAGCTATCGCACAGTAACAGCTTCATGCGCCAGCTAATCGCACAGTACAGCTACATGCGCAGATAATCGCCACAGTAACAGCTACATGCGCAGCTAATCCCCACAGTACAGCTTACATGCGCCAGCTAATCGCCACAGTAACAGCTACATTGCGCAGCTAATCGCACAGTAACAAGCCTACATGCGCAGCTAATTCGCACAGTTAACAAGCTACATTGCGCAGCTAATCGCACAGTAACAGCTACATGCGCAGCTAATCGCACAGTAACAGCTACATGCGCAGCTAATCGCACAGTAACAGCTACATGCGCAGCTAATCGCACAGTAAACCAGCTACATGCCGACTATCGCCCACAGTAACAGCTACATGCGTCAGCTAATCGCCCACAGTAACAGTACCATGCGCAAGCTTATCGCACAGTAACAGCTACACGGCCAGCTAACGCACAGTAACAGCTACATGTCGCAGCTAATCGCACAGTAACAGCTTACACGCGCAGCTAAATCGCACAGTAACAGCTACATTGCGCGCTAATCGCACAGTAACAGCTACACGCGCAGCTTAATCGCAACAAAGTAACAGTACATGCGCAGCTAATCGCCACAGTAACAGCTACATGCGCCAGTAATCGCACAGTAACAAGCTACATGCGCAGCTAATTCGCCACAGTAACAGCTTACATGCGCAGCTAATCGACAGTAACAGCTACATGCGCATCTATCGCCAGTAACAGCCTAACATGCCGCAGCTAACGCCACAGTAACAGCTATCGCCACAGTAACAGCTAACATGCGCAGCTAATCCGCCCAGTAAACAGCTACATGCGAGCTAATCCACAGTACAGCTAACATGCGCAGCTAATCGCCACAGTAAATGCTACATGCGCAAGCTAATCGCACGTAACAGCTACACCGCGCAGCCTTATCCGCCCACCAGCCTAACAGCTACATGCGCAGCTAATCGCACAGTAACAGCTACAGCGCAGCTAATCGCACAGTAACAGCTACTATGCGCAAGCTAATCGCCAGTAACAGCTACGACCGCCGCAGCTAAATCGACAGTAACAGCTACATCGCGCAGCTAATCCACCAGTAACAGCCTAATCGCACGTAACAGCTAATCGCCACAGTAACAGCTACATGCGCAGCTAATCGCCACAGTAACAGCTACATGCCGCAGTTAATCGCACAGTAAACAGCTACATGCGCAGCTAATCGACAGTTAAACAGCACACGCCGCAGCAATCGCACAGTAACAGCTACATTGCGCAGCTAATCGCCCAAGTAACAGCTAATCGCACAGTAACAGCTAATTCGCCACAGTTACAAAAAGCTACATGCGCAGCTAATCGCACTAGCTAACAGCTACATACGCAAGCTTAATCGCAGTTACCAGCTACATGCGCAGCTAATCGCCCAGTAACAGCCTCATTGCGGTAAAGCTATCGCACAGTAACAGCTACATGCGCTAGCTAATCGCCACAGTTAACAAGCTATAAATCGCAGTAACGCTTACTGCCCGCAGCTAATCGCACAGTAAGTACACGCGCAGCTAATCGACAGTAACGCACATTGCGGCAGCTATCGCCCAGTAACAGCTACATGCGCAGCCGGTAGGTAAACGCGGTCCATGCCATTTAGTTTCGATGAGAGACGTCTGCAAGGGTCAATCCCGTCGAGGATTCAAAGCGAACTCGGATTGAGCACGGTTAACTATGTATAACCTACACGTATACGCGAGCGTAAGTGCTTGCCAAATAAGCGATCGTGACGCTAGCGCGGAATACGACCACGTCACGTCACGTCACGTCGTGAGGCGCGCGCACGCGGTAGACTGCAGTAATCGGTCACAGGCACTTGGAGCGTTTCAATAAAATATAATGCTAAATAATACGAAAACATATTTACACCAAAGGTCCTTTATGTTTCTATACTCTCTTTCACCTATTATTGCCGACAATTTCCTGCAAATGCCATCCAAATGCTCAACTGCAACAAACGCTGGCTGTCGCCACGGCTGCCGCTGCACATTGACACATAAATATATATATATTTACCTCCGAGTGCCTGTGTCATCGGCGACATTAGCGGATTTCGGATTTCGCTTATCATTATACATGCAGTGATTATTGTTATATTTATAACGCACCTACGCTCTCTCGTTACGACCTTGCTCTACACAGTCACGACATCTGGTCCGACACCGATCGATGTAATAGATTGGTCAATGACAACGTGAATGAGCTCATAACCACATCGTTAGCAACACGAGCAAACAGGGTTACACGGGTTTGTCTGGTGTCGAGCGCCCGCGCTGGAAGACCGTAACTACATCGACCGCCAAAGTCGATCCGTTGAAGAGGAAGAATGATGAAGAGATGAAGAGGATGGACGACAGGCAGGAGTTGGGTTAAGTGGCATGAGTCAGAGTTTCGCATACGATGAGGAATGTATAGGGGATGAAAAGCGAATAGTAGCCGATGCCGTGTGTGCCGGCCGTCTACTCTACGAACAATGTAAAATTAGCACAATTCATTCACTGTAAGCCCCTTCTACTAACAAATCTAATTTAGTGAGCAACCAAGATGCAGGGTCTCAGGAATACTTTACGCATCGATTTCACGCAACATGGCAATAACTAAAAGCTGGTTTTCCAAGTGTACAAGGCAATATACGATAACTACCCTAGAGGCCCATCTATTGGGATTTAGAGTCGCGGCATTGCCCTAGACGTAGTGGTCAGACGGCCGACCACGTCTTTCCTCTTTTACAGTTATCATCAATAAATCACTGATATCCCTACTCTTATCCTGCTTATATATCCTCCATCTTTCTATTCTTAATAGTATCTATTACAACCACTGCTTACACTGTGCATTTCTCCTACTCCTATCCTTACTGCTACCTGCTATCTATTGAAATCACTTCTCACTTTGCACTTCCTTCTTCTTTCTGTTCTTACGGTTATCTAACAAAACGACTGCTTACCTGACACATCCTATACTTTCTATTCTTACTCATTTTATTGAAATTATTGTTTACCCTGTACATTCTTCCACCTTCTATTCTTGTTGCTTCTGTCAATATAATTACCTGCTTTACTTATCTTTCCACCTTCTATTCTTGTTGCTTCTGTCAATATAATTACCTGCTTTACTTATCTTTCCACCTTCTATTCTTGTTGCTTCTGTCAATATAATTACCTGCCTTACTTATCTTTCCACCTTCTATTCTTGTTGCTTCTGTCAATATAATTACCTGCTTTACTCGTCCTTCTTCCTGCTTTTCTTACTGTTGTCTATCAAACTCAATACTTACCTTCCGCATTTTACCTTCTTCAATACTTTCTACTTCTATTGACGTCACTGCTTACCTTGCGCTAGTTCGAATGGCAGCACCCACCAGGGATTCTTCAGCCAGGAGATGTAGAGGAAGCGGGCGATGTTGATGGTCAGACCGAGGTAGAGCACGCGCAGGTGGCCGATGCTGCGGATGAGACGAACGCTGAAGAAGTAGGCGAAGATCTCAGACACGTGGTTGATGACGGACGCGATGCCGAACAACGACGGTGTGCCGCCGAGGTCCTGCAGGTGCCAGAAGAGGAACGTGAAGACGAGACCGTTGCCGAAGCCCATGAACCAGACGACGTAGAGGATTGCGATGTAGTGCGCCGAGCAGAACGTCTTCAGCACGGTCAACCAGACGTGCGGCTCATCCGCTGGCGCCGCCTGCTGGTGGCTCGCTCTCGCCGACACCGCATCACTGACGGCATCGCTGGGATGCTGCGGGTAGTCGGCGTTCTCGTTCGTGACGGAGAGCTGCGGTGGCGCCTCGTGCTCGTGCCGCGGGAACGTCTGGCCCGACTGCAGCACGCTCATCGGCAGGTTGTCGACGGCGTCGCCCTCGCAGCTGAACCTGAACTGAGTCGCCGTCAAGAACGCGCAGCTCATCAGCACCGAGAAGACGGCGAAGCAGATGGTGTAGTTCTTCTCGCCGATCTCGCGCTCGCCGCACGGGTGGTCGGCGAACGCCAGCGAGTTGTCGAGCACGATGCCGATGACGAACATGGCGACGCCCCAGCCGAGCGATCCGAACATGCGCTGCCGGCCGTACAGCTCCACGTCGTCGCCGAGAACGGTGAGCGTCGCCGTGTCGGCGAGCGTGATCGCCGGCGCACAGAAGAACTCGCCAACGACAATAAGCAACAGCAGCAGCCAGAAGACCTCGCGCACGTCGCGCTCGCGGTACACGATCGTGCTGAACGGCGGCTTCACGAGGCTGCCCTCGGTGCGCGTGTCGTAGTTGACGACGCGGTTCTCGTCGATGCGCTCCGGCGACTTGCCGATCACATGACCCTGCGGGAAGCGCGGTCGCTGCGTCCGCATCTCGATGATCGCGCGTCTGCGGCGCACGCCATCGCCAGCGTTTTGCAGCTCAACCTCCAAGTCGTCGTCATCGTCGTAGTCGGGCGCCGCGTCAGTCGTCATCTCCGTTGTCATGGTGGCGTCGAGGTGATTCCACAGCGCGCGCAGTTCGTCGTCTTCGAGGCGCGAGGTGAAGCGAACATCTCGCTTCTCGATCGGCACGTAGGGTTCCTCGAGGTACTTGTGCGTCACGTTGCTGTAGTAGAGGCAGGAGGCTGGCGGCGGCGTGATGAAAGAGATCGCCAGTGTGAAGGCGACCCAGCAGAAGAGCGAGAAGAGGCACACCAGCTTGCGGCGGCTAAACTTGTCAGCGAGGCGACCCCAGAGCGGTGCACCGACGAACTCGATGAGTGGTCGAATGCCGATCAGGGTGCCTGCCTGGATCGGGTTCATGCCGAGCTGTTTAAAGTAGATGGCGAGCAGTGGGAAGAGGGAACCAAACGCCGAGAAGAAGAAGAAGTAGAAGGTCTTTGAGATGAGCAGGTCGCGATCGACGTTGTGCCAGAGTGCCTCAAAGCAGTCCTTGCGCACTTTCTTCTGCTTCGGCGTGACATCAGTGCCTTGGCCGTAGTGGACTGGGTGGCCGTAAGCCTGATCGTCAGTGTCATAGATGGCTTCCCTATCCATGGTGACCTCCGTAGACTCTGCTGCAGGAGATGGATGCTCTCACCGGTGTTCCGCAAGGCGTGGTGGATTGAGGATGGTCGTCGGCCGAGGGTAGCTATAGTGTCATCTACTTCGTGCAATCACCTGAAGGCGGTAGCGTCTGCTTTATAGTAAATATATTAATGAGTGAGTGATTGACTGAGTGATTGACTGAGTGAGTGAGCGAGTGAATGGGTGAGTGAGTGAGTGAGTGAGTGAGTGAAGAATGAGCGAGTGAGTGAGTGTGAGTGAGTGAGTGAGTGAGTGAGTGATTGAGCAAACGATTGTAGTAGTGGATGTGTGGGCGAGTACGTGTGTGCATGCGTGCGTCCGTGAGTGTGTGAGTAGGTGCGTGCGTGCGTGCGTGCGTGCGTGCGTGCGTGCGTGAATGAGTGAGTGAGTGAGTGAATGAGTAAGTGGGTAAGTGGATACTTTGGTGGGTGAGTTACGTGCACGAGTGGATGTGTATGCGTGGGTGTGCGTGCATGCGTAGGCGTATGAATGTATATGAGAAAGAAAAAGGGAGGCACAGAAAGATTATGTGAAAGAAAAAGAAATGAAGAAAGTCAGAAAGAGAGAGGGGCGGGAGAGTGGTACCGAGAGATGAAAGAGTTAAATAGGTGCGAGTGAGAGAGAGAGAGAGAGGGGGGAGAGGGAGGGGGAGAGGGAGGAGGAGAGGGAGGAGGAGAGGGAGAAGGAGTGGGAGAAGGAGATGGCGCGGGACAGAGAGAAACAGAGACGTGACAAGCGCGGGAATGGACGATGCAGACAGCGAGATGGAAGTGGATTAGGAAAAAATGCCGTAATACAAACCAACCGCGCTCACCGACGAATAACTATGAAATATTAATCGAGCATTTCATTTCACCCTAACCACACACGCGTTCCGTGAACGTCGAGTGTTTCGTTGCGAACGCGGTAGTTCCTACAGCCCCTCACGAGCGTACACAATGCGGCAGTGTAACAGTAGCCAGCAATCAATGCTTGTGCATAGCACGAAATTGATTTTCTCCTCGGCGCTAGCGCGAAGGTCGATATTGCTGGCCGCGAAGGAAGACTCCTCGTTTAACCGGCTGCGGTTGCATGCCCCGTCAGCTCACATCTGCCAGCTACATGGACCCTGAGTCGCGAACCGCCCGTTTGCATACACGGACAGAGAATGTAAACTAGAGCTAAAAGGAGGCAGCGCATGGGTACCGCGATGACGTCTGCAAACAAGAGAAAAAGAGGTGATTGAGCTTACCTTAACGGAGAGAGCCTTCGCTAGCAGACGACAGAAGACTGCGCTCTCTGGAGGCAGTCATCAAGCGGCGCGCTTATTCCGTGAAGAGGTGTGAGGCGGCAATCAGAGAAAGTAGTTCCCACATTTATTTGCAGACGAAATTAGTAGAGCTTGCATGAAAGAAAGACTAACGCACCCGAACTGTGGCGCCTCGAATACGAAAACTCGGAAATGTGCAGTGTAGAATTGGCGAGGTTTGATTTGAAATAATAAAATTTTAATTCACGATGGCTTGTGGTCTGACTCCGCGTATAATATCCATACACTGCTGCCATCTGCTGTTGAATGTGAAGGCATATAAGAGCATTATAACATAGCGTGAGCGCACATGATGGTATGCCCGTGTGTACGCGCGCGCGCGCGCGCGCGTGTGTGTGTGTGTGTGTGGTGTGTGGTGTGTTGTTGTGTGTGTGTGTGTGTGTGTGTGTGTGTGTGTGTGTGTGTGTGTGTGTGTGTGTGTGTGTGTGGTGTGTGTGTGTGTGTGTGTGTGTGTACACGCACGCGTGCGTACGTACATGCATGTAGGCCTACAGTGTTTCTGTGTGTGGACGTTCGTACCTGTGCGGTGTGTGTGCATGTGTGTGTATGCGTACGTGCGTGCCTATGGCGGAGTACGCATATGCGTGCTGTGTATGTATAATTTGTGTTTGTTTTAAAATGCAATTGCATGAAAGTTCCAAATAACAACTATAACTAGAGCACTCGGAGAGCACAACCTCCGTCAAGGCAGCTCAATTCTCTCACTGTGGAATTTTTTTATTAATTAATTTTTTAATTAAGTGGAAAAATTAATTAATTAAATAAATAATTAATTGGATCCGGATTAGTGCGAGCGTGCAGGTGGGGGAGGACTGTGGTTGCCTTAGCCTGTGTTTGCGTGTTTGTAAGTCTACAGCCAGCGCACCTAGCGGAAGTGAACTGAAAACGTGCATGGTAACACACAAACACACAAAACCAACACTCAAAACTCGCCGGTGAAAACATAACCTCCGCCACGCCCCTGACGGAGGTAATTATTTGTGGCCTATTAGCCTAGCTGTTTCATGATCCTGTGATATATAGAGAGGAAGCTAATGGCACTGTATAGAGTACACTTCGGATGCGCAAACATGGGGCCAATAACGTGATATCGTTTTAGAGGTAATCATAACATAGTGTTTAGCTTTGGCAAGGCATCGTTAACAGCAATTCTCTTCATCAACAAAATGAGCAGCAACCATTTTGATAAGCACATTTTCGTGCAAATATGTGCAAAAATCGTGCAACACTGCTCAACATTTACTGAGACATACGCATGCATCTGTGCGTGCATCACCCGTGTCATTATGCCGGAATATCACCACAGGCAACTTATTACAGCAATACCGGAGAATACGCTAAATAATCGACGAAAACGGCGTTTACCGTTGCCTATAAGTGGCCTTTACTCTCAGCGCGTGGTCTCGCACTGTTTTTCTCGGTGCTACTCGTGTAAACGTTTGCTACCACGCATGGCCAATAGCAGCGTTCACACGTAGCAAGAAATCCGGTATTTAGCGTTCACACGAGGCAAATACGAGGCCCAAGAAATACGGTATCTAAACAGATCCGTATTTCATGTAAATACGAGGCTTCCAGACCCCGAATAATTTGCCGTGCTTGAGAAATACCGGATTTATTGGACCGCGCATTTCCTCGTGTGAACGCTTAATACCGGATTTCTGAAGCCGCGTATTTTATGGACTGGTCCGCGCTCGACAGTTCTAGTGTAACGCGAGTGGAACTGTCGAGCGCGGACCATGACGTATTTTATTGCAGTTGGTGCGCATTGCATTGTTTATTTCGCATTGTTCGCTTGATTGTTTAAGGATACTCACCACGTTGTGCATGAAATTTGATCGATTTTTCGTTTTCAACTTTATTCGATGGCTAACACTATGTCCCACCTGTGTACATGCTCATTTCTCCATATAACGGTACATGTGAACCCTCAGAGCGTTTTTGCTTGCCCCCGTACATGTAGTAAGCAGCGGCTGACGTCATTATGACGTCAGAGTCAGGATACAACCACGATATTCACTAGTAATAAATAAGCCAGTATCATTCAGTGTCAACCCTGCTACAGCTGTCATTACATGTATTCATGTACATTCATGTACATCTGCTAGTGATCCTATAAGTATCCCACGCCCAAAATAGTTCTAACACCTCGCAACAGCGCAACACACCTTACTGTAGTGCGGCCGGTACACGGCGCGTGTTTTGTTTATTAGCTTTGTGACGTCGGATGAGCGGAGTTCGCGCGTTTTTGCGATGGTAACCTCGTAATTTCTCAGAATTTCTCAAGGTGCATGGAACATTTTAGCAATTTAGTGGTGTCAGTCAGTCATGGATATGTCGCAGTAAGTACTAACAATAGATATATCACATACGTTCACCCATTTTGCACACAGGCGGTCACTCATTGTGAAAAATAGAAAAACGCTGATTTGTCCGTTTCGATTTCTGACATAGTAGCCGATGTATAAATGGATATTTCTCTGTGATTACAACTCGGATTAATTTAATTTTACACTCATTTTAAGGTAACATTTGTGGTAAAAAAAGCGCGTCAGGGATGTTATTAAGTGCCTTACTTTATTAGTTATGCCTCTTTATTCGCTAAAATTTCTATTTTTCACACAACTTGATTTTTAAAGCAGTTTTTTCGAGTTTCTCGGTAAATATGTAAATTAAAGAAAAATTCCTGACGCGCTATTTTTGGTCCATATTGTGCTTAACATGGGCCAAAAATTTTGTATCCTCACCCTTCTGGTAGTTGAGAAATATCCAAAATACCATTTTTACATAAAAATTCAAAATTTGTATGGTAACATAATTAGGTGCTGGAAATTTCATGAAATTTTTTGGCTCGAGCATAGAGATATATCTCCTCTATAAATAAAACAAGTGATTGATTCGATTCATTCGCAATAAACGTTTAATCTTCACTAGAGCAATACCCTTGCGCAACGTGCTGAGTATCCTTAAAGCAGCTCGCAGTCGCAAATACCGTATTTCTGGAGCCGCGAATCAGCGTGTGAACGCTCGGCCGCGTTTTGTCTCAGATACGGTATATTGCAAATCCGGTATTTCAGAAATACGAGTCTCGTGTGAACGAGGCTATTAACTCGTAGACGCGACTCCAGGTGTGGAACCAAACACAGAAATAATCTCCCGCGTTGCAGTCATTGTCGTCATGCTTCCGGTTACCATCGTCATCGTCGTGTCATCGCCTGCTGCCGCGATCGGCTTTGTTGCTGTTGCCGCGGCTGTTAGCATGTTCCTGTGTTTGACGACGATCGGTCGTGTCAGATCATCCGATGCATTAACGTGTTTCATCAGGCGGAAAATAGCGGATCGAAGGCGTGGTCACACAGTGCTCTCTTGAATTTGAAATGGCGCTCAGAAATCTCTATTTCGCGAATGTCTGTCTGTCTACGGTCGAGACACATAATTACGAGTAAGTGTTGGATCTAATACTAAGTCTAGTAACTAAGGATCTAGTAACTAAGGATTCTAGTCCACTAAGTGTTGGATCTAGACAATAGGCTGCGCTTACTAAAGTATTAGGACGAAACCTCTACGATTATGCTATTTTATGGCGAAGTCTCACGTTAAAAACACGTAAATTAATAACTATTAACATTTCGAAGGTAATTATAGGTTAAACACCAAAATGCTTAGGTATGAACGGTATGCTAAGTTTGCACAGATATGATCTGTGCTAATCTAAACTAAATTCGTAGTTTATAACAGATGAAACGCTTCTCAGCGTTTTCGATCATTGTAGCTTAGGGTAATGACGCATTAGAGCGAAATAGCTAGTTAATTAGATAGATAGATAGTTAGATAGATAGATAGATAGAGAGAGGAAGAGAAAAAAAGAAAGAAAGAGAGAGAGAGAGGGAGAGAAAGAGAGAGAAAAAGAAAGAAAGAGAAAGAGAGAGAGATAGAGAAGAGAGAGAGAGAGAGAGAGAGAGAGAGAGAGAGAGAGAGAGAGAGAGAGAGAGAGAGAGAGAGAGAGAGAGAGAGAGAGAGAGGAGAGAGAGAGAGAGAGAGAGAGGAGAGAGAGAGGAGAATATTATATATATATATATATATAATATATTATTATATATTATATAGAGAGAGAGAGAGAGAGAGAGAGAGAGAGAGAGAGAGAGAAAAGGATAAATAGAATACATAAATAATTATATATATATATATGTGTGTATATATCGAGAGAGATAGCTAGACAGATAGATAGATAGAACATACATACATACATACATACATACATACATACACAGCACGCATCGCACGCACGCACGCCACCACGCACGCACGCACGCACGCACGCACGCACGCACGCACGCACCCACGCACGCCACGCACGCACGCACGCACGCACGCACGCACGCACGCACGCACGCACGACCACGCACGCACGCACGCACGCACGCACGCACGCACGCACGCACGCCACGCACGCACGCACGCACGCACGCCGCACGCACGCACGCACGCACGCACGCATGGATAGATAGATAGATAGATAGATAAGATAGACAGACAGATCAGATAGATAGATAGAATATAATAGATAGATAGATATAGATAGATAGATAGATAGATAGATAGATAGACTAGATAGATAGATAGATAGAAGATAGATAGATGATAGATAGATAGATAGATAGATAGATCGATATGATAGATAGATTAGATAGATAGATAGATAGATAGATAGATAGATAGATAGATAGATAGATATAGATAGATAGATAAGATAGATAGATAGATAATCTAGATAGATAGATAGATGATGATAGATGATAGATAGATAAATAATTAGATTAGATAGATAGATAAATAGATAGATAGATAGATAGATAGATAGATAGATAGATAGATAGATAGATAGATAGATAGATAAGATAGATAGATAGATAGATAGATAGATAGATAGATAGATAGATAGATAGATAGATAGATAGATAGATAGATAGATAGATAGATAGATAGATAGATAGATAGATAGATAGACAGATACATAGTTAGATAGAATAGATAGATCGATGTGTTTATCGGTCGTATTTTACATGCGCACCAGCCATACGTGTAGGCAAATACGATGCGGTATTAATGTCAGTCGCCATTTTCGTTGTTGCTGTCTTCATATTTGATTGCTAATAACGATGCTGACAAGCGACCATATTAGGGGTCTTACCCCACGCAGGCACTAAACGAGAATGCTTAAAGATTGAGCATCGGGGGAAATCAGAAATTAATTATCATTATAATCTTATACGAACGGCGCGCGCACAATTACGGACAGTTGTAGGTAATTGATTGTATTATACGAGGTCGTATAACCAATTTCGGTTGTAGGGGAAAGAACAATAGTGCGTCGTTATTGAGTACCTTTTCATGCGACTATAGCCGCCTCGTTGCTATCCTCGACTTATATCGAGTGGCATCGAATTCTTTTCTCCTGGTGATCCGCGTACCCAACACGCACGTTCACGCACCGTCAGTTCCAGCGCACGTAATACGACATCTCGTTGTCTCTCGCCGTGGCGTCGGCGCTATAATGTAACCTCTTGGGAGCCTGGGCGGTGTTTCTAATAAATATTAAACCCTAGCCGTCGTCGGATAATCCGAGTGGGCGACGAGTTCATACAAAAACGGACGCGGTCACCGCTCGCCAAGACAGTGAACGGTAGCCGCTTGACGAGAGAGGACATAGTTTCTGCGTGGTTGGCTGCTACCATTGGCGACGAACACTTTAAGTTGATCTCGGCAATTTCGATCAAAATCAGGTATGATTGCACAGCGCTACTGACGTAACTCCTCCTGCGGAGAAGATTTGCTCGCGATTTTTGTTTTACGATAAACCTCACGTCACGTACGATAAACTCGTGCGGTATTCCTAAGTGATATTTGCAATTTTTTGCTATACATAGTATTTACACGATATCTATCGGTTGTTGTAATAAGTGCATTTGTTCGTATCTCTAGAAAATGAGTCTCGTAGCTGGCGCAGTAGCGGGTTCCTGCGCTGGCGAGACACGAGCGACGAATTCTGACGTTGTGTGTATTTTTACGTAGCAACAATGTCCCGGACGACCATCCTCCTATCTTTCGCAATCGGCGTCGTCTTCGTGGTTATCATGTGCAGGAGTACGATGGTGGCGGCGGGAGACATGCCGCTGCCGCCGCAGAGGCCGGGTGTCTTCAAGACGCCGCACCAGCTGCGAACATACCTGCAGAAGCTCAACGAGTATTACGCGATCGTCGGAAGGCCCAGGTAAGTGCATGCTAACAGTGTCGAGCTAGCTACACCGCGCAGTCGGAATCCGGCACGCCTGGTTATATACAGGAATTATATAGGATATGGGCGCGTGCGTGCAAGCGTCAATATGAGTAATAAAAGAGCAGGAAAAGAGGTAAAGATGATAAGGTGATAGCGAACGAGCGAGAGAGAGAGTATATATATATATATATATATATATATATATATATATATACTCGCTTATTGCTGGATAGTTATAGAAAATAGCGTGATCAGTATAATATACTGTATATCCCATTAAATTGTCGAAATTTATTGTAAAGAATTCCAATATAAAACACAGCGAATATAACTGTTATACCGCATACACACTAAATCTCAAGTAGCAGAGAGTTTTGTGCCGAAATGTAAACACGGGTGGGATGAAAATATCATCGATGTTCACCGGTAGATGGAAGTACGCGCATGATCTATCCACTCCTAACGATGTTTGGTACGCGTACTAACTGGATAGCGGTTAGCCAATCGACGGTTCGCGAGAAAGTGACGCCACCACGGGCCACAAGCCGCCATTTTGCAATCACTCCAAAAGGTTAACTATGGGCCGGTGTGCGCCCCATAACATTTCAAATGGAAAATGGCGAAATGCAGTTTGTTTTAGCATTCTCTATTCGCATAAAAAACAAATTTGTGTGGGTGCGTATGTGTGTGCGCGTATGTGTGAAAGAGAGAAAGAGAGAACCTACAGTGTTTCTTTGTGTGTGGACGTTCGTACCTGTGCGTGTGTGTGCATGTGTGTGTATGCGTACGTGCGTGCCTATGGGCGAGTACGCATATGCGTGCTGTGTATGTATAAATTTGTGTTTGTTTTAAAATGCAATTGCATGAAAGTTCCAAATATAACAACTATAACTAGAGCACTCGGAGAGCACAGACCTCCGTCAAGGCAGCTCAATTCTCTCACTGTGGAATTTTTTTATTAATTAATTTTTTAATTAAGTGGAAAAATTAATTAATTAAATAAATAATTAATTGGATCCGGATTAGTGCGAGCGTGCAGGTGGGGGAGGACTGTGGTTGCCCCTTAGCCTGTGTTTGCGTGTTTGTAAGTCTACAGCCAGCGCACCTAGCGGAAGTGAACTGAAACGTGCATGGTAACACACAAACACACAAACCAACACTCAAAAACTCGCCGGTGAAAACATAACCTCCGCCACGCCCCTGACGGAGGTAATTATCTGTGGCCTATTAGCCTAGCTGTTTCATGATCCTGTGATATATAGAGAGGAAGCTAATGGCACTGTATAGAGTACACTTCGGATGCGCAAACATGGGGCCAATAACGTGATATCGTTTTAGGGTAATCATAACATAGTGTTTAGCTTTGGCAAGCATCGTTAACAGCAATGTCTCTTCATCAACAAAATGAGCAGCAACCATTTTGATAAGCACATTTTCGTGCAAATATTGTGCAAAAATCGTGCAACACTGCTCAACATTTTACTGAGACATACGCATGCATCTGTGCGTGCATACACCCGTGTCATTATGCCGGAATATCACCACAGGCAACTTATTACAGCAATACCGGAGAATACGCTAAATAATCGACGAAAACGGCGTTTACCGTTGCCTATAAGTGGCCTTTACTCTCAGCAGCCTGGTCTCGCACTGTTTTTCTCGTGTGCTACTCGTGTAAACGTTTGCTACCACGCATGGCCAATAGCCGCGTTCACACGTAGCAAGAAATCCGGTATTTAGCGTTCACACGAGGCAAAATACGAGGCCCAAGAAATACGGTATCTAAACAGATCCGGTATTTCATGTAAATACGAGGCTTCCCAGACCCCGAATAATTTGCCGTGCTTGAGAAATACCGGATTTATTGGACCGCGCATTTCCTCGTGTGAACGCTAAATACCGGATTTCTGAAGCCGCGTATTTTATAGACTGGTCCGTGCTCGACAGCTCTAGTCTAACGCGAGTGGAACTGTCGAGCGCGGACCAGTCTACGTATTTTATTGGCAGTTGGTGCGCATTGCATTGTTTATTTCGCATTGTTCGCTTGATTGTTTAAAGCAGCTCGCAGTTCGCAAATACCGTATTTCTGGAGCCGCGAATCAGCGTGTGAACGCTCGGCCGCGTATTTGTCTCAGATACGGTATATTGCAAATCCGGTATTTCAGAAATACGAGGTCTCGTGTGAACGAGGCTATTAACTCGTAGACGCGACTCCCAGGTGTGGAACCAAACACAGAAATAATCTCCCGCGTTGCAGTCATTGTCGTCATGCTTCCGGTTACCATCGTCATCGTCGTGTCATCGCTGCTGCCGCGATCGGCTTTGTTGCTGTTGCCGCGGCTGTTAGCATGTGTGCCTTGTTTGACGACGATCGGTCGTGTCAGATCATCCGATGCATTAACGTGTTTCATCAGGCGGAAAATAGCGGATCGAAGGCGTGGTCACACAGTGCTCTCTTTGAATTTGAAATGGCGCTCAGAAATCTCTATTTCGCGAATGTCTGTCTGTCTACGGTCGAGACACATAATTACGAGTAAGTGTTGGATCTAATAACTAAGTCTAGTAACTAAGGATCTAGTAACTAAGGATCTAGTCCACTAAGTGTTGGATCTAGACATATAGGCTGCGCTTACTAAAGTATTAGGACGAAAACCTCTACGATTATGCTATTTTATGGCGAAGTCTCACGTTAAAAACACGTAAATTAATAACTATTAACATTTCGAAGGTAATTATAGGTTAAACACCAAAATGCTTAGGTATGAACGGTATGCTAAGTTTGCACAGATATGATCTGTGCTAATCTAAACTAAATTCGTAGTTTATAACAGGTGAAACGCTTCTCAGCGTTTTCGATCATTGTAGCTTAGGGTAATGATAATTTTAATATATCAATTTTCCCCTATTATTATCCACATGTAATCGTTTTATTAATATCAGCATCCAACCATCCATTCGTCTATCAGTCTGTCCTTTCGTCCGACACTAAGCCGACCACCCGACCGCCCGGCCGCTCGCGGATGAGCTTCATCGTGAATTCAATTATTCATTTATACATTAATTCATTCATTCACATCTACATTTAGCTAATCAATAATCATATAACTGAATATAATATAGCGGATAACAAGCCTTCGCATTTTTGCAATAATTATTCCTATAGTGTCTTGAGTACCCAATTTCGCGTGCATTGATCAGGTCTCCAGCCGGCTACAGTTATCTTACACGATATTAGCAATGCTTTAGATATGAACGTAATTTCGCCTCTCATAATATGATGATTCCGACGATTATAGTCACGCGTCGATTTTTGAATCATCCCTCCTTCACAATTTTGCAGTCGATTATATCGAAGAGGTCGTCACAATGACGTGGCTCCACTATGATTTGAATGGGACTATAACACTCCGACCACTACGATGTAAGATAGCATGTCCGTGTGCGAGTATACTACATCTACATCTACATCTCTACACTGTCCCTCCCGTGCACCGAAATACTCGCATTCGGATTACAAAATTCAAAACCGTGTCCATTCGCTTCAAGTGTCGACGCAGTTCTGTTCGTGTGATCGCGTTGGTTCTACTTTCTGTCAACCTAAATCTGCGCCCACTCTCAATTACAGAATAAACCGTGCGCGCCGAGGGATCGTTCTAGCACTTGACGTTATTGTGCGCGAACGGTCGCGACTAGTCGCCAGGTTTACTCAAGAGCAATAGCGAACGACGGGGATCGGAGTGGGTGCCTCTTGCCCGCTCCTAAGAGGCGAAGCACAATGCGCTAAAAGAAGCGGTGACGGTGAGAACGATGACGATTGTCGCCAGCGCGCATTCGGTTCTCGGCTGTATTTGCGAGTGCATTGCTGCCAATCGTACTTATGCCCGATATATGTACATATGCGTGAACGCACATATGTACTGCATACATATACACGCCAAGAGAAAAGCAAGGACGAACGAACACACGTACGCGCACAGACAAGCGAGCGTGATGAAGAGAGAAAAACGGAGGGTCTTACGGAAAAAATATCGACTCGGAGATGAAATTAACACATATTAAGACAGACAGGCAAACCGACAGACAGACAGACACACACACTAGCAAACACACATACGCGCACAGCACACACACGCACACGCATACACACACACACACACACACACACACACATACACGCAGGGGGCGGGAACAGAGAGACTAGAGAGATCGAGAGAGAGAGAGAGAGAGAGAGAGAGAGAGAGAGAGAGAGAGAGCCGAGCGAGAGAGAGGAGAGAGAGAGAGAGAGAGCGCAGCGAGAGGGAGAGCCGAGACAAACGAGATGGCAGAGAGACAGAGTTCATATATAGTCGTAATATCGAGAGAGAGAGCAGAGAGAACGAGAGAGGGGAGGAAGAGAGAAGAGGCTAGCAACAACAAGATTAAACATAGTCCCACCAGTAACGGCGACAGGACCTTTCTTCTTCCCAATCACAGAGGAATCGTATGTCTAACAAGCTATCTAAATTGTAAGTATCACACGACACTCAGTGACGCAGGGTGTAGAGACACAAACAAGAGACGTAAATTACTGGATTCACGCAAGGAATTGCTCTGCGCTTAACATTTGATCTTTGCGACAAATCTCGTGCGGTGCAGCTAATAAGAATTACTGGCCATGACTTAGTAATAACGGGGTCTAGATTGATTTGCATTATCATGGTTGCTTGCAGCGTCATCACGTCGCAAATTAAATACTGAATCAAAAAAGGTTATTCACCGATTTGATTGCATTGGATAATATCAATGTCATGTCTGTATGTATATGTATGTATGATGATGTATGAATGTATGATTATGTAGTATGTATGTATGTATGTAGTTATGTATGTATGTATGTTATGTATTAATGGTATGTATGTATGATGTATGTATGTATGTATGTATATGTTATGGTATGTATTATGTATGTATGTATGTATGTATGTATATGTATATGTATGTATGTATGTGGTGTA